TAGGGATGCAGGATTAAGTTACATGGGTAACCAAAATTCTGGCATTTCCTTACTTTCAAACATTTGCCTCTTCAACCTAAAACGTTGTTTCTGTATCCATCTTAATAAATAACAATTTATACACATGCAGACCTTATTTATATTAAGTGTGTAAATACCAAATCCTAATTCACATGACAGGATGGTTTCTGATCTGATTTAGTGGCATGACAAGTGTATAGATACTATACTATATTATGGACTAAACATGGACATTGGATTTTTGTTACATTATAATCTGCCTGGCAACTGACTCCCCAGCCCAGCCCCTGGCTTGTTTACTTTTCATTCCATCCAGGAAGAGCGCACACCAACTGCTGAAACTTCCTTAGCCTGACGAAGGGTTTTTGAACCCGAAAGCTTGCTTAATAACTGTTCTCCAACTACTTGGGTTGGTCTAATAAAAGATATCAAATTCACCCAAGGAGCCGTGTCTGTCTAGATATTATACATGGAGTTTCAGGTTTACACAATCCTTTATATGCTCTATTTGTATCTGTCATGACACTGCAGCATGAGTTAACCAAGAACTGAAATATATTACGTTATGCCAAAACGAATGTCTTGTATGTCGTATAGTTAATATTTCCTTCAGTTTTAATTAAATTAGATTGCACTGCATTTTACAGGCACTTTCCATATTTATTGTATTTTTTACTAAATATCATTAAAGTCTCAATAAAATACAGAAATCATAAAACTGCATCCCAGGCTGCCAATTTCAATTTAAGTTTCCCAAATCAATGGGACTCTTCTTCAACTAGTTGGATTTAATTTCCGGGGTAGTGGCAGAATCGGCTTCTGCTCATTAAGTATTAAAACAGCTACATCTTTGAAAAGCAATTGTATAGGCAAACCTTTTTCTGAGCACCTTCCTTCTTTTTCTTTTCTTCCTGCTTTTTCTTTTTCTTTTCTTCCATCAAACGTTCCTCTTCTTGTGTTTCTTGTTCTTTCTCCCTATGTAAAAGAAAGATTGAAAAAAAGCTTCTGAATGAGATCAGTCACATAAAGCAAGATAAACAGAGATATTACATGTCCAGAAATTTCTAGTGTTATGAAAATAACACTTTAATAGACCCGTTATAAAAAAAATTCTGCATCCAATGACAAATGAGTGATGCCTACAGGAAGTTCCTGCCAGAGCTGTAACTACCCGATGTGCCAGAAGCTACTTAGCTATGGGAAAAATCTCTCCCTCCCAAAAACCAACACACTGATTGATTTTTTTTTTTAAACAACCCTTCCATTTTAAACAGTAAAAAAAGCAAAATACCTGAAAATAGATACCATTGGGTAGAAGGTAGTGAATTGGCCAGACAACTGCCTTGTAATAAAAAAAAATATGGGGAAAACTAGAGGGTAGAAATATGGAAAATACTTTAAATTGGTCCTGCTCCACAGGAACTCAACCAGCTTCAAAGGAGAGGTTATACAAAAGTAGTGAGGCAATACCCATAGTAAAAAATGACCGAAAGGACTGGAGGACCTTGTACTTCCATCACAAATCTGAGCTTCCATTTTAAAACTCCATAGGTTACTTTAGTTAGTATGTCATAATGATTTTTCCCCACACAGGAAGTTCTGTTGAACTCTTTTTTCTTCATTCTTAAAATAAGCTTTGATTGAACCCCAATTTTCAGATTGGGAAAGTTTGATTTTTTTAAATTATTTTATTTTTTTAAAAAAAATTGTAAAAAATTAAGTGTTTTGGCCATCCTTCAGAGGATTAGGAAGTTACATCTCCAAAACAAACAGAAAACAAACAAACAAAAAACACAAACCAAATCAATTGCTCGATGTACAAACACAACGTGGAATGAAATATAAGTACTTGAAATAGTAAAAATTAACTTCACTATGCTAAAATAAAACATTAAGCAAGACTGAAAAAATGTCAAGCATTTCATTTTGGATCTACATTTACTATACAATGAGATACCACCAGTGGAGAACTGAGGTGCAAAGATTAGGCTCACCCGAGTTGCTGACAGTAAAGAACTGGGTATACACAGAGTTGGAGTTATAACTCATATGAAATACTACAATTCCTCAAAATTAACTACCTCCTTAAGATATTTCTTAAATGAAATATCTAAATTATTTTTGTCAAAAACGTTGAAGAAAAATACCAATACAAAGATATTCAGAGCCCATAGTACCTGTATCATGAACACCTTTATGACAGGCCTGTTTCTCCCAGATCAGCTAGGGACAGGGTTAATTGGGACCTAGCAAACCAAGGTGATCTGCAGATGTCCTGAGTTTGGAACATTAGCAAGATAAAAATCAGAGTTTTTTAAAAAAAGGACTCAAAGCAGACAAGGAAACAGTGAACAGGTCTTTGCAGTTTGATGAGAACTTGTTTAGCTGCAGGACTGATCCAAGGAGCGAGGCGACAAACCATGAGCCACTGAACCCAGTGCAGGTATTTTATTAGGCCTCATTACTCAAAAACAGATGTTAAAAGGAAAGTTTGCACTCCCAGGGCATGACTAAAGGCTCAAGGTAGGTGCAATTACTGAATTCTATTCAGGCTAAACAGGCCTGAAGCAGTGGGAATGCAGCAACTGGATCCCCCAACAGCCGTCTGGTCAGTCCAAAAGGTGGAATGCAGCTGGATGCTATCAATTCACACTTCGGAATTTAATATTTTTCCTGAATTTCTGGAAGGGCATTGGTCTAGCACAGGGGTGGGCAACGTAAGGCCCGTGGGCTGCATTCAGCCCATGGCTGGTCCCTTGGTCCCACCTGGCCACTCAAACATGGCACATCGTGCCACCCCATAGGCATGCAACAGGGCTGGAGCAGCTCTGCAGCTGGATTGTCTTTCTAGGCAGCCCAGGCACTGATGGCTCCTTCCCGCTGCTGCCACCGCTGGCTCCAGCATCCCAGTACCAATGGGGACCTGTGCACAAAGCCCTGACCCAGCATGCCCTGTGGCTACTCCAGACTTGTCTGTCCAGGCTCAGCAGCAGCAGCTGGGCAGAAACTGTTGCTTGGTATTTAATGGGGAATGAACTCTGCTGCCTGGGCTGCCCTGCAGTTGCTCTGCACTGTGACCACTGCCACACTGGGCAACCCAGGGACAGCAGCCTGGGCAGCATAGGCTCTGGGTGGCTGCACCAAGAACTGCCCAGCAATGGCGAGGGGGAAGGGCTGCTTTTCTTCTCACACCAAGCAACAGTTTCTGCCTGGCACAGGCATACCAGGGTCCCTGCCAGTATCATGGGGCTGAGGCCAGTGGCAGCAGCAACCAGAAGGAGCTGCCCTAGCCCCACTGCGTGCCCAGGGTGTGGCAGGACGCACCATGGCTGAACAGTACAGAGCAAGTGCGGGGCAGGTGGTGACTGTGCACTGTTGGTGGCAGGGAGGCATTGCAAGGCTGCTGGAAGGTACACCGGGGGGGGGAGGGGAGAGGTGTTCCCATGCACACCCTGTCATACCATCAAACCCTCCCCAACAAATTTTACAACCACACCCTCCCCCACACAGTCATACCCCCCCAAACACTGCACCCACCCCCAAACCTCCCCACACCCACATGCCTCTGGGGAGTGCCCTGCCCTGCTCACTGTTACAAGCACAAACCCCCCCCCATCCACACACCCCACATCCCCCCACAAACCCCATACACCTTCAATATACAAGAGTAAGAATTCATTTTGGGCTATTATGCAATGATCTATATACACATACAAATCAGAACAAAAGTACTTTAAAGTAAAATTAAAATATATACTAAAAATCAAATATCCATAACAACAATTT